AAAAAAAAAAAAAAGTCTTTGCTCAAAAAAAATCAAAATATACTGGATGGAAAAAAAAAACATTTAAGGGAAAAATAAAACATTGATACCATACAAAAATCTCAGCATAAAAGGGATAAACATCAGAAAATCTCGACCCTAGCTGAAGAGTTGTTGGCAATTGATGGCTGTTGGGAAAGAAATTCAGTTTTCTTCAGGAATGTATCCCATAAGAGGCTACCTATGCACACATTGGCTACATTAAATGGAGATTGTAGGTTTCGAAAAAGAGACAAATTAAAAAAAGAAAAAAACATAATATTGTGAAGTCATAGTGATGGTAAAAACAGGGAGGAATTAGAGGAGAGAAAATTAAGGGGTGTAGTGTGCACAACACATTATGTTCACTTATGAAATTCTTAATTAATAAAAAATATTTTGTCAACTTAGTCTCTACAAACTTGCTTTAACTAGGCATTATACATTCATCTTTATTTCAATTTGTTTTAGAGTTGCTACTATTCTATGCTGTATACAATCAAATAACATGTTAATAATACTGATATTGCCTAGTTTCTTTTAAGTTATAGTTAGTTTTGTTATTGGTAGTAACTCACGATCAATGCCTAATTAAGTAAGTGAAATTCTGCTACACACAAATATTTCACACAATACAAATCATTCATTCATTTACTCTGCATAAATATTTTAGCAAATGATTAAGACAATGGCTTTGTCTTAGGTGATTCTGGAACTGAAGTAGGATCAGCCTCCTAACTGCCTCCACACCCAAGGAGATAATAATTTTAGCCACCAGAGTGACTAATTTGGAAAATAAGGTCTTGGTCTTCCACCTCTCCCCTCCCAGGTCATTCATACTATTACTAGTCTATAACTTACCCCTTCCTTTGAGGTGACCTCTGCAAAATTTGTCACACTATCAACTGACAACTGTATTTCTGGGTCTTCTCTTATTATTTCTTGATTTGTTTTTCCAACTACGTCCTCAGTGCCAATCTTTACTATGTCATTAGAACCTAGCTCTTGGGTTAACAACTCATGATATTAAATTTTCCTAGAATGCAGAACATCCAGCAGGATATGTATTACAACAAAATACATCTATTCCAGTTCACCACTCACATTTGTCTCTGGGGTTTCTAATTCCTCAAGTGATATCTGCTCATCTTTATGGGTAGAGGCATTGAAAATGCACATGTACTAAATAGCCTCCGTGACTGAAAATGAAAACAACAAAAGGATCCAATACTATGAAGAATGTGACCTTGATCATCAGAAACAGCTCCCAGTTCATGCACAACTCTGATGTTATCATGTGTTGGGGACACATCACAGGTTTCTTCAGTAGGGGAGTCTAAAGATAAAATGGTATGCCTTATAAAGAATTCTGCCACTGTCAGAGCAATGTAGTAGCTTCCCATCCAGCTCCTTACAGATGCCCAGGTGTTTTCTGTGGAGGTAGTGTGGCAAGGATGCAATGTGCCTGAAGATCAGCTCACTTACCATGCAGGAGTAGCAGCTGTTCAGGAGCTTGCACCGTGAGGCAGAGCTCTGTGATTCCAGGCAGGAATACTGCCACCAGCATCCCTTAGACTTACATCATCCATGAAGCAGCAAGTAGTTAGGTTAGGTATGTTACCTTTCTCAGTTTTGTTTAAGTTTTAGCTTCATCCACAAATTTAGGAAATTTTATTAGAGTTTTATCATTCCTCTATTAGTATTCCAGTAGATATTCCAGTAGGTAGGAGGAATATCAGTTACATCTTCTTGAATCTTCATTTTTTTCCAATTGGAATTATAGTGGTCTAATTTTCAGTAACTTTCACATCTGTCAATTAATTTAATGCCTCTAAATGGTTTCTTTGTCATCCCCTTTCTCATACTATGTTTTGAATTTTAATAATCTGATTTATTTTGGATTTTTAATTTCATCTTTAAATTTATATCAATTTATGTTTTTTAATATCTATGCTCTAGACATTGTAGTACTTGTATGCAGATGAGGTGGCCATTTTGGTTGGTGGAATGTAAACTCAGAGATGCCTTAGAATTCTGTTGTCATAGTAACTTTCACATCTCAGTAAGGCCTAGCTTATGCTGGTCTGATAAATTATCCTTTTCTGGTTATGTGTTATTTAAACTTCTATACTTTTTTTTAATTAGAAAGTAACATTTACATGACTTAAAAGTTCCAGGACGTTGTGATTTTGAGGTAATTTTTCATTTCTTCTAAAATAATTTCCTTATTTTTCTCTACTGTAATTACATAATGATCTTTTGTCAGTTCTCCTTTCTGTACTTTTCATTCTATCATTGCTCTTTGAAACCATTCTCCTTATTTTGTTAATCTTAGGGAAATTAAGACATAGTTATGAAAACAAATTCTCTTCAGTTTGTGTTGAACTTTACTATCCTAGTCATCATAGAACTAGATTATGAGTAACTTGGTTTGCTTTTTCACTGTGAAATGAGAAATTCCCCCAAAATTTAAGTTTGTTCCGCTTACCTCCCTGGGAACAGAGTATCAGTGATGTCTGAGACTACTCTGCTAAGTCCATTTCCTTATTGTTCCTCTTTGGGGATCTGTATGTACTTTGTCCTTGGCATATTTATTTTACACATGTATTCTGATATGAAAAAGGTATATACTGAGTTGCCTCTTTTTTTTAATTTAGGTTTTTTAAAATAAAAATCTCATTTAGCTGTCACTACTTTGAAAGTATTAACTTTATCTTGATAATCAGTTTATCTTTTATGTTCTGTTGTCTCTATTCTCCTTTCTATTTTGATTTTTAAAAATTCATATTCTTGGGTAATTCTTCTCTATCTTGAAATCTAGTCCATTGCTTGTACTGTAAGTATGTTGAATGGTCAGCAGCCTTTGACACTATAAATTCAAGTCCCCTGTCATACTGGAATATTAGTATTTAAGACAAATCAGATATATGTCCAATCATTCCAGGTTTACATTTTTCTTATTATTCTATTTGTATGGAAAATATAAACCTGGAATTCATACTTGAATTTTATTCTAGTTTGATTCTCTGTTGCTGCTGTAAACACCAGGAACAAATGTTTCTTGGACTACAAAAGGGTTTATGTCAGTTTGCACTTTCAGGTAATAGTCACAGGCTCCCACTCAGCTACCTTCAATTTTTGCTTTTTTTTTTTTTTCTTGGTTTTTCGAGACAGGGTATCTCTGTGTAGCTTTGCGCCTTTCCTGGAGCTCACTTGGTAGCCCAGGCTGGCCTCGAACTCACAGAGATCCACCTGCCTCTGCCTCCCGAGTGCTGGGATTAAAGGCGTGCGCCACCAACGCCCGGCCATTTTTTGCTTTTTTAAAAAGGCTTCAAGTATTTGATACAGTATATTTCAATCATATTTAATCTCTGAATCATTCATGCTAGATACACCCTCCATCCATATCCACACAAAGTCATGTCCTCTCTTTAAAGTACTTCAATACCAATTTTTGCTGTGCAAATATTTCTTGATATGTGGTCTTTTCCTGGAGATTAGTCAACTTACACTCTTAATGAAAACTTTCTCCCTCTTCCAGCAGCTAATAATTGCCAATAGATAAGGATAGAGGTGGGATTGTTTGCTCAACTCCCCTCTAAATGCTGACATTTGGTCTGGCTTGAGCTTGCTCAGGTTTTGTGCATGCTGTCACAAATCCTGTGAGTTCACATGTGAACTCTGCTTCACAAGTTACCCTGCTGTGTCCAGAAGATAACGTTTCTGCATATTCATCCATCTCCTTGGATCTCATACTCTTTACCCCTTTCTTCTACAATAATTCCATGGCCATTGGAGGATGTGGTGTAATAAATATATATTCCATTTAGGGCTGAGAATTCTGCATTCTCTTTTTTGCTGCATATTGGTCAGTATGAGTCTTGTATTAATCAGCATCTACTGCAAATAGAAGATCTTTAGATGAGACCTAAGACATTCACTGATCTATGGGTACAACAAGAAGTCGTTAATATGTGGCTTAATACTATCTACTTTTAATCAAATAGTAGTAATCCTTTTCCTCTATGTCCTATAAGCTTTTTAGGTTCTTGGCACAAAATGGTGCCAGGTATGGGTTTCATCTTGTGAGGTAGAATTTTAATGAAATAAAAATGTGGTTGGTTACTCCAGTGATGCCACTGTTAACCAGTGATCATATTTTGTCAGGACAGTTATTATTGTAGCTTGCAAGATTCACAGCAAAGTATGATAAAAGACTATATTCCTCCTCCTGTACCTTGCCTAGCACTTTCCAGCACTATGGATATTAGGCAATAGAGATGAATTTTACCAGCCAATGCCATCTTAATTTCTCCATGTTCTATGACTCTCTTGTGTGGCTCTTAGTACCAATTCTGAAGGGCAACCAAGAGCAATGGCAATAGCCTGTTATGTTGGAGGAAACAGGAATTCACTGACCAACAAAACCAAAGTGGTGAACAGTTCCTTGTGCTGTGTTTTCCATTTGGTAGCATAATGTATCTAGGAGAGTCATTGTCTTCTCATTGTAGGGTAATTCCATTTAAAGTCATATATATATAGTTTAGGGAAGTTCTAAAATAGTAAGTTTCCATTAGGCCTTTTTAAAGTCTTTAATGTTATTTGCCCCTCCCTGTAGTCATTTCTCTAAACTGCCTTCCCCTCCACCAACCCAATTTAATGTTTCCTGTTCCAAACATGAAGTCTTTTTCTTTCTGGGTATGGGAGCCCATTTTCAGGTTCCTAGTGGCTTTACCCAGCAGGTCCCCATAGAGGATGATTAGGACCACAGGCTTGAGTGCAGGTGCCTGAGATGGT